AAGTTCAGTTATGACATTTTAAATATGTAATTTGTATAAAAATGAGAAAAAGTCAAAGATGTGAACTTTTGTAAAATGATGTATTGAAATAAGTATTTATATTTAATAATATTGATTGAATATGAGACTAATTTTAATTACATATCAATTAATTCAATTTTGACTCTGTCAAAGTCAACACCCAAAAATATGCTGTCAGAAAAAGTATTTCAAATAAATATAAAAATTATATCATTAAATAGATTTTGACTGTCCCATCGCAACGGTGTAAACGGATTTCAATTTGGATAAAGTTGGACCAAAAAGTGTACCCCAATTGAAGTAATTTAATCAAACTAAACTGGAAGGAATTAAATAGCAGCCGCCTCCTCCACTCACGGCAATCAAACGTAGGAAATCACAGGGCTTCAAACTTCAAACGTAACTCCATCTCCCAGGCCTATATATAGAGCCATACATTCTTCATCATTATCACACCAAAATTATCCCATTAGTTAGAGGAGAGTTCAGAGAGTTGAGAGAAGCTGTCCGGAGAGCTTCCCGTCGCCGAAGCAAGCGGTGGTGTTCGCCGGAAGTTTCTCCGTTTTTCCGCCGGAATCATTGTTTCACTTCAATGTAAGCCCGTAGATATATCTAGTGACTAGAATGTTCGTATAGATCGTTTCTACGTTCATAAATGGTCGTTTGGTTGAGTTTTGTGTTTGACATATGTGAAGAACCAAGAATCATAAACCTTGAATTTGTTGTTAAAACTTCGAATTGATGCCTCTAAAATGATCTACGAACCTTGGAGAACATTTTTATATAGTTTAATTGAAGTTTGGTGACCAAAAATGGAACTTGAGAAAAATGGGTTAGAGGTTGAAGATGATGAATAGTAACCCCTTCACTTCCTGCACTTTCCAACGGAACGGACGACCGTTCAAACCCAACGGTCGAGCGTTACGAACATTTTTAAGTCCAAAAATGTTATTTTTGAAGCTATAAAAGCCTAATTTTTTTATACCAATCAATTATGATCAATATAAAAATAATTGTTAAAAATAAAAATGATGTTTTGACAAATAAAATTTCATGTGATAAAATAAAAATGATGTTTTGACAAATAAAATTTTATGTGATGTATGACGGTAAGCTAAGGTTTTAACACTCGATGCTAGACCGCTATTTTTTATTGGATATTGTTAAAATTATTATTGATGTTGTTTATAATCAGACTTTGATGAATATTCTTATTAAAATAATAATTATGAATGATTAAATCATGATTAAAAATGAATATATTGATAATTATGAAATGATGTGTATTGTTAAGAGTATCTAGAAGAACTCTAAGATATACCCATTTAAATAATTTATATTAAGGTTTTCTACAAGACCTCTAGAATAGATCTCAGATTAGAAGGGATTGTGAAAATCTGAATATTCGGTGATTTGATAAAAAAAAATGTAACGGAACACGTAGACCAAACTAGAGGATCACTCGTTTGGAAATACTTCGACTCAATGATGATTAATTATTGTTTTATTGTTGCCTTAAACTAATTATAGTTTAAGCGTCTGAGTATTGTTTGCCTTAAACTAATTAAAGTTTAAGCGTCGGAGAACTGTTGCCTTAAACTAATTATAGTTTAAGCGTCTGAGAATGAAATTATGATCTAGCCTTAGACTAAGAATAGCTAAGAGCGTTGTTATGATCTGGCCTTAGACTAAGAATAGCTAAGAGCGTTGTTATGATCTGGCCTTAGACTAAGAATAGTTAAGAGCGTTGTTATGATTTGGCCTTAGATTAAGAACGATTTAAGAGCACTATCGAAATAATAACTTAATTGAATAAAATATGTTGATAAGAACTGAATAATATCAAAACTGTGAATGTCTGAAGTGAACATTGTGTGCATGATATCAAATGATTTGATTATGAATTTAGATTCAGTTTCTATGGATGTTCGACGCATTAGATATGCTTACTCAGCTTTATCGCTGAGCGTGTAGTATGTTTTATTTGCTACACGCAGGTAAACAGAAAGAACAATGTGATCCTGGTGGCAGATGAGGCGAGATTGTCGGGATGGATGTGACAAGTTTTGAAATGAATTATGATATGTCAATTTTTAATTCGCTTCCGCAATATTGTTGAATACTCTGTACTGTATATGTTATGAAAAATATTATTGTGATAAATAAAAGTGTTTGAAAAGTTTTAAATTTTTACGATTTCCAAGTTAATACTTTAGTCCAAAAGGGGCTGCAGACCTGGACGGATTAGGGTGTTACATCGCGTGTGTCCGTCCTAACCACCGTGGATTTCGCGGAGGCCTACGATCTCATAGCCAGGGCAGACAGCGACTTGAGTGCTTGCATTGAGTATCTGAAGACAAATAATGTCAGTTCAAGCACTCACCGTCCCATCAGCTCTATCTCAAAAGGAAAAAGGCCCTTCCAGGAATCTAGCAATTCACACTTCTCAAAAAAGGGGAAATCGATGCAGACGCACTCTGTGGCATCGGAGAACAAATCAAGAGGGTGGAAACACCCATTGTGCGATACATGTGGGAAACATCATCTAGGCGAGTGTTGGCTAGCCCAAGGATTATGTCTAGGTTGTGGCAGACCTGGACATTTTCGGAGGGATTGCCCCACTAATCCTGGCAAACCATTTCCGACAGCCCAGTTGTCAGCCAATCAGCATCAGCACGACCTGCGCCAAGTCAACGATCAACGGCAGGATCTAATCTGGCCAAGAACCAGAGTCAGCAACAGGGACGAGCTCCTGCTCGTACTTATGCAATGAAGGCACGAGCTGAGGAAAACCCTGACGTCATTCAGGGTATGTTTTCCTTATTTGATTCTGTCATGCTTGTGCTGATAGACCCTGGATCAACGTTATCTTATATTTGCGTGCCTATGCCTGACAAAGCTGACGTAATGAAAGGAAATTTAGAACAACCTATACTAGTGTCTAACCCGTTAGGGCATAGTATGAGGTTACTTCACGTATATCAAGATTGTCCATTGGTTGTCAAAGGAAAAGAATTCCTTGCCAATCTTGTTGAATTACCGTACAAGGAATTCGATATCATCCTTGGAATGGATTGGCTCACCGAGTACCAAGCAGTTATTGATTGCCGACGACGAATGATTCAACTGAAAACTAAAGAGGGAAATTCTATTGAGGTGAAAGAAAAGTTAACTCCTAAACCGACTGAGTTCATTTCGTACATACACGCGAGACGTCTCATTCGAAAGAAATGTGAGGCTTATCTATGATGTACGTGACACACGAAAGGAAACTCCTGAATTAAAGGACATATCGACAGTATGTGATTTTCCTGACGTATTTCCTGACGAACTTCCTGGTATACCATCTTCTAGAGAAGTAGAATTTTCCATCGATCTTGTTCCTGGAACAGGACCGATATCTACAACTCCCTATCGCATGGCTCCTGCTGAGATGAAAGAGTTGAAGGCTCAACTACAAGAGTTGCTCGATAAAGGATTCATACGACCGAGTGTTTCCCCTTGGGGAGCACCCGTTCTGTTTGTCAAAAAGAATGACGGTTCGATGAGACTCTGCATCAACTATCGTCAATTGAACAAAGTCACAATCAAAAATCGATATCCTTTACCTCGTATCGATGACTTATTTGATCAGCTTAGAGGATCTACTGTATTCTCTAAGATTGACTTACGGTCAGGATACCATCAAATCCCTGTAAAGAAAGAGGACATCCCAAAGACTGCGTTTCGTACTCGTTATGGTCATTATGATGAAAATCGGTTTACACCCTAAGAGGGGGGTGAATTAGGGTGTTTGCAAATTTTTTAATAAAAAAAACAAAAAACTTATGCGCAAAGTAGTAGCGGAGAAAGAGCAAGAAAAGTATAAAATATAAAAATACGACACAAGCGATTTTATACTGGTTCGGGAACTCTCTACTCGAGTACCTCGAGGCTCCTCCTCAAGGATTTAACCTCCACTAACTTGTTTGGCTTCACTAAGAAGACTCAAACGAGGTTTGGCAAACAACCCTTGCCAATAAGCAAACGAGATTTTACTACGGCTATCTCAACCGTTTACAACCGAAGATTTTAAGGCTATCTTCAACCTTACAATGAGGATTTAAAGGCTATCCACACCTTTT